CCACACCCACGTGGGAAGGCCGGGCCGGGCGCGCCTTACCCGAAGGTGCCCTGCCCGATCTTGGCCAGCTTCTCGTACTTGGAGACCTCGTCGCAGTACGGGCACTCGGCCGCGTCGTACTGCTTGGCCATGGCCGTCCCCGCGCCCCCCCCAAACGCCGCGGGCGGCCGGCAGGCTCCGTCCCCCGAGCGCGCAGGGGCGCTTCCGGCCGCGCTTCCGCCCGGCCGCGCCCTCCCTCAGCACTTCCGGCGCGGCCGGGCGGGGCCGCCGCGGGGCAGCCTGGGAGGCGTAGTTCGCAGCCGCCCGGCCGGCCGGCAGGCTCCAAGCGCCCGGGACTCCGGGAGGAGAGGATGGGCGGTGGGAGGGGACGATGGGCTCGGGTGGGGGGATGATGGGTTGTGGGAGGGGAGGATGGGCTCTGCGGAGGAGGATGGGCTCTGGGAGGGGATGATGGGCTCTGGGAGGAGGATGGGCTCTGGGGGGATGAAGGGCTCTGGGGGGATGATGGGCTGTGCGGGGGATGATGGGCTCCTTTTCCCATTTTCCCCTCTTTCCTTTCTCCCTTTTCTTTCTTCTTTCTTTCTTTCTTTCTTTCTTTCTTTCTTTCTTTCTTTCTTTCTTTCTCTTTCTTTCTTTCTTTCTTTTCTTTCTTTCTTTCTTTCCTCCTCCTCTCTTTCTTGTTTCTTTCCTCTTCTTTTTCTTTCTTTTTCTTTCTTTTTCTTTCTTTCTTTCTTTCTTTCTCTCTTTCCTTTCTTTCTTTCTTTCCTTCTCCTCTTGTCTCTTTCTTGTTTCTTTCCTCCTCCTTTTCTTTTTCTTTCTTTTTCTTTCTTTCCTCTTCCTCTTCTCTCTTTCTTTTTTCTTTCCTCCTCTTTCTTTTCTTTCTTTCTTTCCTTCTTTTCTTTCTTTCTTTCTCTCCTTTCTTTCTTTCTTTCTTTCTTTCCTTCTCCTCTTGTCTCTTTCTTGTTTCTTTCCTCCTCCTTTTCTTTTTCTTTCTTTTTCTTTCTTTCCTCTTCCTCTTCTCTCTTTCTTTTTTCTTTCCTCCTCTTTCTTTCCTTTCTTCTTTCTTTCTTTCTTTCTTTCTTTCTTTCTTTCGTTCTTTCTCTTTCTCTTTCTCTTTCTCTTTTTCTTTCCTTTCTCTTTCTTTCTTTTTCTTTCTTTCTTTCCTTCTCCTCTTCTCTCTTTGTTTCTTTCCTCCTCCTCTTTTTCTTTCTTTTTCTTTCTTTTTCTTTCTTTCTTTCTTTCTTTCTTTCTCTTTCTTTCTTCCTTTCTTCTTCTTTTTTCTTTCTGTTTCTTTCTTTTCTCTCTCTTTCTCTCCTAACCCGACTCGTCTTTTGAAATATGGTTGCAAAAAACGTTAAAAAAAAGAAGTCCCATTCCTGCCTGGGAAATAACTACACCCAGGACTGCTGTTCTAAAAATAACCGTTGGTGAAAACGAGGGAAAGCGGTAGCAAAGACGTGATGCAATGCAACATTTGAGTATTTTTCCTAAAAATAAACAAAAAAGTCTGCCTTGTTAAGCTGTTTCCTCTTATCAGCTCAACGAGGAACAGAAACATTTGCGGGGGGGGAAAAGTGTTTTTTTTTCTACAACCGTGTCTTGACTCAAGATGCAGCTTCGTCCTTTTGGGCCGATTTTGTTAAATTTTAACCCAGATTTATCTCACCCTGCAAAAGCTGGGCTTTTTCATGCTTTCCCCACGTAAGACCGAGGAGTTTGGCACACTGGAGAAATCAAGAGGGTAAAAACCCACCTTTCTCCCCTACAAATGCAAATGCGTTTGGGTTCTGTTCCTCCCCAGTTTCCTTTTAAAAAAAAATAATAATAAACAAAATCAAGAGAGGAGGGGGGGGAAAAACCAGTTTTGAGAGATCGGTAGGGTGCAGGCGTGTCTTGTGCGAGAAGAGAGGAAAGCCAGCAAAAGAGCAAGGAAGGGAGGCGTGGGGTAGGTGGGTGCCTGGGTGGCTGTGGGAGAGGAAGGGAGGCAGGACAATTTGATGACACATCACTTGCAAAACTTCTCCGGGCCGAATCGGAGGGGCCAAAAAAACATGGCTGAGAGCCAGAAGAAAAAAGGTGGCTTTAAAAGTAAGTGGTGGCATCAGGTGGGGGGGCAAGAGGGCAGCAGATTTTCACGGCTTGTTCATTAGGGGCAGGAAATAACCAGACTGGACGTGTGTGTGTGTGTGTGTGTTGAGTGGCTTGCACAGATGTTGCTTGGAGGGACTTCAAGAGGATACCTGCATTCCCCCCCCCCCCAGCAAAACTCCTGGATTGGCCACTATTTTTTTTTTCTCCCCTATCGTGTGAATGTTCAAGCTGGAAAAAACGTATAAAGGGAAGGGTAGTTTAAAATTTTAAGCAAAAAAAACCCTCACTTTTGCAACTTTGGGGACAATGCAAAGGACTTGGGGAGGGGGGTTGAATTTTTCCTGAAATTTGGCAGCTGGATCGACCGCTTGAGTGACGAGATAAATCCCTGATTTAAACTGCTGCTTTTATGGGTTGGCGGGATCCAGGCGCTTGAGATCCAGCTAGCCAAGCTGTTTAGCCAGGTGAGCGATCCGCACCCAGTCGGGAGGTTAAGAGGTAAGTTTCTAGCCCTCATGATTCCGGGGCAGAGCTGCCAGGTTTTGGGCTGAGCTGTGCAAAAGGTAAAGGACAATTCAGCATAAACTCGGGGGCTGAGTGTTAGCCGGTAATTGCCTTGGCAGCAGTGCAGAAATGATTTACGATTGGACCCGGTATTTACAATTTACAATTCCATCCAGTTTTTTAACTTGGTCTGCTTTATAGCCTGGGGTTTTTTCTTTCTAAACCCAGCTTGAGTGTCCGAGTGTGTATGTCAGCTACAGCAGTTGCTTCTCAACATGGTCTACTTTATGATGGAGGGACTTCAACTCCCATAATCCCCCTAATGGCTGGGAGATGCTGGGAATTAAAAGGCACACATTTTCAAGTGGATAAAGTTGAGAAAACGCTAAAAGCTGCGGTATAAAACGTTTGCCCACAAACTGGAGAGAGTCCCCGTATCTCGGGACATTTAAGCTGGGCTTGGCTTCAGGATGAGACTGCCTCTCGGTGTGCTACGGTATCGGTCGGCCTTTCTAAGAGGCTAGTCCACATTGTTCTGAACGGCGAACCTAGAAAGCTTTGTTCCGGCAAATCGGATGCTTGGCTGATCTTATTCCAGATACAACAACTGCTCCAGCTTCTACCTTGTACAGGTCGTCCTCAACGAAACAGTTTGTTTAGTGACTGTTCGAACCTGGGCGAGGAAGGTCGTAAAATGAGGCAAAACCCGCTTAAGCGATGTCTCCTTCTGCAACAGAAATTTAAGCTGTTGCGGTAGTAAGCCAGGGGCCTCCGTAGTAACTACAAACGGAGCAGAATGGAGGCCTCGCTCTTTCCGAAAGCAGGTGTCAGCTGAAAGAAGCGTGAAACAGGAACCCTCCCCAGGAAGTGGGCAGATTTTGATCTGCACTGCAGGCCCGTCGCTTGCTATTTGTGCTCCATAATCTCTGGGCTCTGTAACCCCCAAAACAGTGGCTTCCTGCTGTGTGGAACTAACACCCCCATCCTCCCCGGCCCACTGGGTTTGTGGAGTCTACCTCCAGGGAAGACGGTGGGTCAGGCCTCGTGCCCGTCCTACGAAGCTCAGAAGTGTTGAAATAGTGTTTGTTCCGCAAGCTAATATTGGCAGGACGTTCAAAGACAGAACATTTTAAAGACAGAATTAGAATAGAATAGAATTCTTCGTGGTCCATGTGTGATTGGACACACCCAAGATGTAGAAGCTGTCAGTGTACATGCAAGCAACAAGTGATAAATCACGATCATAGTCCTCGTAAAAATAATTTCATCATAAATCGTAAGATGCAACACTTAGTGATAGTCATAGGATGCTGAATAAGAAATGAACATAAATTAGACTAGGATACTAAATCAAACAATATAAATCGTAAGATACAAGCAACAAAGTTATAGTGATAAAGTAGATTAGGAGATAAGGAATAGGAAAGATAAGAAGAAGAATAGTAATGAAGCCTTACTAGATAGTTTGACAATGTTGTGGGAATATGTTGTTTAGCAGAGTGATGGTGTGGGGGGGAAAAACCCCGTCCTTGTGTCTAGTTCTGGTGTGCAATATCCTACAGTGTCATTTTGCTCAAACAGTTTATGCCCAGGATGTGAGATATTTTCACAGCTTTCACATATATGATTCATATGCAATTGAAATTAAATCATTTCCTTTGGGGTTGATAAATAAAAAGTTGGGAAAAAAGGTCTTAGAGTTTTGTTTTTATACGTGATAATTGTAGCAAGATGATTGCGTGCACAAAGATGGAAAGATTTGGCAATATATATGACAGGGATAGTTGATGGAGATGATTGTACTTGCGGAAGGGGTTAAATTAATCATTGATTAGGGGGAGAAAAAAGACATTATCTACATTTATTGGTGGCTGGAAAACCCCTTGTGGACTTTTTTTGTGAAAAACCAAAACCAAAATGAACTCATGATCTCTGGTTTTGACGATTTGTAGAAAGAAGAGTCGCAAAGCAACCTTAGAAGTAAGTTGGCAGCTCTTCTTATAACTGCTGTAAAGATAAAAAAAAAAACATCTAAAGGAAGGAACTTTCTTTTTCTGTTTTTCTTTCTATCTTTTTTTTCTTTTTTGCACTTCGGCTTCTTTTTCCTTCTCCCTTTTCCTCTTTTTCTTCTTCATCCTACAATGTTGCTATTGATTTTTTATTTATTGATTTTTTTACTCTTAAACTCTCAAGAGAATTAGATTCCAAAAAAGAAAGAAAACACGCCCGGCTGATTTTCTGCACCCTCCTGTTCAAGCAGAGAGGAGAATTATTTTTTAAAAAAATTCAAAATCATGCTAGGAAAAGATAGCTGCGTCTCTGGGGGGGGGGGTGGGATAAAAATAAATAAATAATCCCAACAGTTTCCGATTCATTGGAGACGGGTAGAAATATGTTTGGGGAGGAAAAACAACAACAACGCATCTTGCAAATCTCAGCCAGTGTCGTTCCTGGGAAAATAAGTGACCCTCTTTGTTTGTTTGTTTTTTTTTAAATTTATTTCAGAGTTTTTTAAGCTCAAGGGGTTTGGAAGCCTGAGTAGCATTCCTCGCAGCTTCGGCTTCCGCAGAGTCTCCGTTGCCCCCAGACTCTCCGAGTCCTACGGAGGGGGGTCGCTCTCTTCTAAAGGCTTCCTGACCCTCAACTTCGAGATCACGCAAGACGACTTGGGGGCTGGCCCCAAAAGCCCGTCGCATTATGCCTGCTCCAGCCACATGTTCACCCACATGGGCACCATGCCCAGAGGCAGCTCTAGACAGAAGGTTGGGAGCCATGGGGCCGAGAAGGCCTTGGAGCCAACGTTACCCGGGGCCACCGAGCTTGGAGACATGGTGAGGGCGTCTGCTGCTCCGCAGACAGGTTCTCCAACGTGGGGAGAAGGAGCAGAACCCAACGAGAAAGAGAGGTCATCTTCTGTGGTCAACATTGACCCAAGCGGTTCCTCAGAAGCAATGGTCCAGGCTGAGAAATCTTCTCAACGTTTCCTTGAGCCTGGAGAGATGTCCAGCCCAGGAGCAAAGGAGAAAGAACAGGATTGTCTTCAAGGAACCATTAGACTCTTTGAGAGGGCCCAAGATGACCTAGAAGTCTTCCCCTTAAGTCCATCTCACTATGCCCAGTCTTGTGATGCCTACAGCCACCTGGGCACCATGCCGAGGGCCCGTGCTGGGCAGTCCAAGAAATCCACCAAAGAGAAGAAGCCTACGAAGACTCAGCAAGACCTCGGCCAAGATCTGGCCACAGAAGCAATCCTGTCCCGTGAGGAAAGGGTCAAGGAATCTAGAGACCAAGAGACGGCAGAGACAACCTCGGAGGAGGACCCAGAAGAAAGGTGAGATGGGACTGTGGCGGAACCCTGTTGGAACCAAGGTTTGGGTGAATGGTCCATCCCTCACTGGTTCTCTTTGGGTAATGTGGATCTAGCTCAGGGGACTTGTGGACTTCAACTCCCAGAATTCCTCAGCCAACACAAGTCATCAAAAGGCCACGTTTGAAGACCCCTGAGCTAGCTCCATTTCAAAAATCCCTCACTCTTCCCCCCACCCCCAAAAAATTACGGCCAGGGAGGTCCTCTAAGATAGTGTACCTCAACCTCAGCAAATTTAACAGGGGTGGACTTCTCTGGCTGGGGAATTCTGGGAGTTGAAGTCCACCCCTCTTAGAACTGCTGAGGTTGAGAAGCTCTACCCTAGGGTAGACGTTCATCTTATTGAACTAGGTTGCGGCTGAGAGAAAGCAGCCCTACTACTGTAGTAAGGAGGAGGACGCCATTACGTCAGGCAGAAGACCGGCAGACAGGAGGGAAGACATTGCTGTGATTTGGGAGAGAAGAGGACAATCCATCTTACACAAGGGACACAACCCCTTTGGGTGGTGGACAAGACAAGGTCAAGGAACCAGGCAGGAGATTTGTTGCTACCCGTTGCCAAAAAAAAGAGAAAGAAAGAAATTTGGTCTCCTGCCACCCAGTTGTCCTCAACGGCCCCAACATGGCTGGTGCTTCCATGCTGCAGATGCTCTATCCATCATTCTAAGGGTCTTCCCTTACTTTGCTCTGACCCAAGAGATGGACCCCACACACACATACACACCCTCCCAAGGGTGGGTGGGGGCTTTGTAAACTCAGGAGACTGGGATTAGAGAAGGTTCCAGGTCTAAGTGGACAACCAGCAATGTCCCCTGCGCTCGGCTCCCAGGCTCTGCTGGGCTGTGCATTCCAGGGGAAGAGGGAGGGACCGGGAGGAGAAACCGAGGCCCAGAGGAAGGGAGGGAGGGAGGGGCCTGGATGGTCAAGGCTGGCAAAGCCAGAGGAGACAGAGCAGCTGAACAGAGGGGGGGGCAGCCCGTCTTGTGGAGCGTGGAGAAGATCCCCACTTTCCCCCATTCCTTCTGGGGTGCAACCGGGCAGGAGAAGCCATGGCCGAGGTGGGGATGCGATGCCCCAACCTGGACCCGGTCAGGTAAGGCCAGCGGGATTCGTTGGGCCAGAATTGGCATTTGTTCACATCTCAGTGCTGAGTTTGGTTCTCCAGCTATTGTTCTGGAATCCCAGTTAGGTAGACGGACCCACAACATCTCAACCAGGGTCTATGGCACAATTGACAATTGTTGCAACAGTACCCTAACAATCCTAGTTTGGGCCACTGCGCTAAGCTGCGGGGTTTTGGGGTTTTTTCTTTCTAACGATGGGGTGTCAAGTAAGTGACATTAACCTTATTATGAAACCAGGTTTTGCAAGCTACAAGGGCTGCGTCCTCACAGGTGGGATGTCGTGTTGTTCAGACCAAAACGGGCAGGGTCACCGATCACGGCTAATCCAGGAATCATGGCTTACGAACCACAGTAGCCAGGTTTACATGCCAGGTTAAAAACGAAAGCACGCGAAGACAAAACCATTTTTTGGGTTGTATTCTCCTTTTCAGGGTTAGCTTTCCAACATTTCAAACCCCACTTTTGAAATATTCAGGAAGTTTCTTCTACATCCTGGTCCATCTCTTTAGGCCGCTGTTTTTTTAATGGCATTTTTAAAAAAATAAAATAAAATGCAATTCTCTTCTTTTTCGCCCTCTTTTCTCTGCCGGTTCATCTCTGGTCGGGCCAACGTCTAGGTGTCTCTACCCTCTTCCTCCAAATTTATTCCTCTCCCCCCCCCTCCAGAAAAAAAAAGAAAAGACAAGAAAATCTGTGCAGGTTTGAATCAAAGGACCCGATTGATTGCTTCGGGATTGCTAGCTCCCGTAAGTCTCAAAACCGTTTGGGGTTTCCCGTCTGCTTAAGAGAAATAAACGGTGAATAAATAAATAAATTAGAAAACAGCAGTGAGTTTCAAAAAAAAAATCAACCATTGAAAGAAAGAGGCCGGTTGTTTTGATGATCAAGACAGAGAGCAAGGAAATTGGAGGGGGCCAATATTTTTCCACCCTAATAACGTTCTTTTTGAATCAAATGGATTCCTCCAGAGCAGTTTGCTTAGGATGCTGGTGGCTTATTAGGACGGTGGCTAATAAACCATGATTAATAACATTGCAGCTATTTCTATCGTGAAAGTAGCGGAGATGCAGGAAATGTGACACTTTATCTAGGGGTTACTCTAAGCCAGAGGACCCCAACTTTTTGGGTACGAGGGATCACCGGTTCCGTGGAGAGAGGTTTTCCCACGGACCGGAGAGTGCGTGGTTTTGTGCGCTGCCCGCATCCCGGGGAGGGGGCTTTGCTTGTTTGTGCGGACCGGATGCTGGCATGCTGCGGCCCGGTACCGGTCCACAGACCGGGGATTGGGGACCCTTGCTCTAAGCCCTCTTTCTCTGCACCGTTTTGTGAAGCATAGCTTCACAGCACCCCTGTGAGGTAGGCCAGGCTCCAAATTCCTCCCCTCTGCGAGAATATAACCCTGGTTGTTTTTTTTCTGCTTGAGTTCAGCCCCTTAACCGTCTCTCCACTCCCTTCCTAATACTCGGTTGCTGTGTCCCAATCTTACACCCCTACTCCGTGGGGAAAACGGCAAAGATCCTAGTTCGGCCCCATTGCTTTGGGGGTGTAATTCCATCCTTGCTGGGGAAGATGGGAGGTGTATTCCAGAAGGAAGAGCATCCGGTTGGGACAATACGGATAATCCACAACTGAGCCCAAATCTCTCTTGCTCTAAATGAGATAGGTATTTAAACGAGTTTTGCTTCTATTTTACGACCTTTCTCGCGCCCACAGTTATTAAGTGAATCTTAACAATTGTTAAGTTAGTAACGCAGTTGTTACGTGGCTCTTGTTTCCCTCATTGTCAGAAGGTGGGCAAAAGGGGAATCATACGACCCCCGGGCCATTGCAACCGTCATAAATGCGAGTCAGTTGTCAAGCATCCGCAGGTAAATCCCACGGGCCATTTGGGACGCGGCAACGGTCGTAAGTGTGAAAAACGGCCGTATAAGTCACTTTTTCCAGGGCCGCGGTAGCTACGAACGGTCACGAAATGAACTGTTGTAAGTCGAGAATTATCTGCACTTTTTATTCGCTTGCATCGGTTTAAAGGCCACCTTGTCTGGTTCGCACATGAATCCTATAAACGCAGCCGCTGGGGTTCGTAGGTCAGATTGATGCCTTCCAGGGGGGCATAACAAGCCCACCCTGTTGGTCTTTCAGTTCCCCCCCAAAAAAGAGAGAGAATACTTTAGCATCTGTACAGATAATTGTTAGGCTTTCTTGTACCCTAAAAAAAATGATTTTATTTGGAAGGGCCCAGATTCAAGATTGCAAGGAAGCGTCTTGGCTTAAGCTGCGGCAGCCACAATGGGGCTGACCCTCCCCAAGCAGGGCCGTAAAATCCCCCCCTGCCCTTTGACCGGTCAAGAAAAAAAAAGTGGTCAGCTTCCTTCCAAAAAAATTCCCACCGTCCTTTCCTTGCCGAATTACCCGAGCCGGCCTTTTTCCTGGGAATCAGACGCTGGCGGAGAACATCTGTTAGCAGTTAGGAGGCCAAAAAGACAGATATTTATATATATGTATCTTTTCCCTGCGTGGGAGTATGGGGGTGGAGGATATGGGGAGGGTTTTTTTTTAAGCAGGGCTTAAGATGAGAAGCAAGGAAAGGGATTGGGGGGGGTGTCTTAGGGAGACAGCAGCCGGAAAATTTCTGCTTTTTTCAGATTTAGTCCCCAGTTGCTCTCCAATTCTTGGTTTCCTGCCCAGAATCCCCCCCCCATCCCACCCTCCAGCCAGATTCACGACCCTGGAATTTTTCTCACGGTCCCCCCCCAACCCACCCCCAAAGTCTGCCTTCTGGTGCTTTGCGCTGCCTGGAAAACTTTGGGGGCAACTGGGAGGGTGGCTGCAAAAAGGCCCATCGAGGTCGGAATGAGGTGACAATAGCAAATTTGTGGAGGGGGGAGAAAAAGAGCCCTTAGGGCTGGGGAGGGGGTTTCCGAGATCATGAGGGTCTCTGCAGATCGGTTTCCCACGGTTCTGATTTTTGTCCTGGCGGCTGGCCAAGTTTGTTACAAACCTCTTCAACCAGGGTTGAACCAGGCTGGTTCGACCTCTTAAAGAGCGTTTCAAAAGTCGGCCGAGCGTTCGAGATAGCAGGCCAGGCAAATCTGGCCTAGCGCGGGAGAGGGGATAAACTATGGTTAACGAAAAACCAGGACATCGTTGTCTACCCGGGAGCTCCCTCCCTCCCTTCGCCCAGCTGTTGCTCAGCGCAAGATGCTCTTTATTTTTAAGCATTTCGCTCTGAAATGGGAGCTACGCACGCAGTTTGGTCATCTCTGAATGAGTCAGATAGACTGCCTCTGGATGTGGAGGCTCTAAAGAAGCTAACAGCCGGGGCGGGCTGGCAGCCACAGTGTTACAAGAGCCTGTATTTGAGAGCTCATCTTCACAGCCGTTTTAAAACTTTTTGTTTGTTTGTTTTGCTATTGTTATATTGATGTGTGTGTATTTTCAGCGAGAACGACCGGGACGCCGAGCAGAAAAACACACGTACTCTCCTAAGAGGAATTATTGCTATAGTAATCATTAAAAAAAAAAACACCAGGCTGAGATCATTCCTCAAATGAAGGTGGCTTGTTGAATATTTAAACAGCAGATGCTCTGCCAGCCTTTTCCCCCATCTAACTTGTCTCCTGGCTTCCCAATTTATCTCCCACGTCGACAAGGACTTTGCTGATCTCAGCCTAACTTTAGACCCAGTTTACCACTTGGCCAAAACCAGATGAAGGAAGATCCTTAAGTTCAGGGGCTGTTTCTTCACTTGTGAGGGGGGGGGGGAATCAAATGTTCCTTTGCTGGCACTACAATTCTTTTTTTTTGTTTTTCCTATTCTTTTATAGCCTGTCCAATTGAGTTGCAAATGTCATTTGCTGGATTGTATTCAAGAGGGCAGAAGTGATGGCTGATGGGTGGGAGACAAAGAGACTGATAGCAAATCATATAAGGTAGCCGATAAGCTGAGGATAGAAGGGAGAGGTTAAGGGGAGAATAGAATAGAATAGAATAGAATAGAATAGAATAGAATAGAATAGAATAGAATAGAATAGAATATGGAAGACTAGAATAATTCTATTCTGTTCTGCTCTATTGTACGGTATTCCTGTTCTATTCTATTCCTGTTCTATTCTATTCCTATTCCTATTCCTATTCCTATTCCTATTCCTATTCTATTCTATTCTATTTGGTACTTCTGAATGTCAGTCTCACTTCTATTCAAATAAACCCAGTTGGCCATCTTCAGAAAACTGGTCAAAAAGTGGAAATGAAGTTTAGGTTTGCAGAGATTTTGTCTAGAATGGAATGGAATGGAATGGAATGGAATAGAATAGAATAGAATAGAATAGAATAGAATAGAATAGAATAGAATAGAATAGAATAACGGAACTCTTGTGTGATAGACACACAAGGAATTTGTCTTCAGTGCATAAGTTCTCAATGTACATGCAAAGCAACAGAGTAACAATAATCACAATATCCAAGTAATAATAACAACAATAATAAGACCAACAAGAGAAGGTAGTGGAATAGAGGAGGAGGATAAAAGCAATTCAGTCCTACTCCATGGATAAATAGACACATGGGTAAATAGATTTAAATGTATTTAAATTTACATGTAAATATACTTAGACAAGGGGAGAAATTCACAAGCAGAAAGAAGAACCAACTTCAATGGGAGGCTGAGTGGAGTTGACAAGAGAAGGAAGGCTAAAAGACGAGAGAAAAGAAGTTAGGGTGGAAAAAGTTTCCTGCCCAAGAAAACAATTTAACCTGTACAAGAGACAGGAAAAGCGTCCTAATATTTAGCCACATCCTACTCCACGGTGGAGAAATCAGCCCAAAGGGAAAAAGGATGAAGACTAACCACTTCCAGCACAGGAAGCCCGCCTGGTTGCTGACCCCGGGACCCTCCCAGCTATTTTCGTCCCTCTTCTCCAGCCCCCACCGTTTCCATCCTGCGAGATGGGCCTTGGTGTTCCTGCCATTCAGGAACCGTTGGGGGGAAACAGATGGGGCGGGGTGAGCCGGGCAGGGAAGCAGCGAGGAAACGGGTGTGCGCACATCTGTGCATTCATCGCTTCCTCCCCGATCCTGGGGGACAAAAAACACGTGTTGAATCAAAGCAAAAAAAAAGACCACGATTGTCATCGCCAAACAGCCCGGCTGTTGACAAATAGTGTGCAGGCCACCAGCTTGTCTATCATATTTTTAAATGTCTTTTTTAAAAAAAAAAGTCTCAAAGGTAAGAACAGACCCACTTTAAGCCATGTTGATGAGACACCTAGCTAGATAAGCCAAAGTGGTCCCTATTATCTCTGGGACAATACAGGGGAGTCCTTGACTTAACTGATCACAATTGAGCCCAAACCGTCTGTTGTTCAGTGAGACATTTGTTCAGCGCGTTTTGTCCCATTTTACGACCTTCCTTGCCACGGTGGTTAAATGGTATAAGGTTTCCTGCCTGAGCAGGGGGATGGACTAGATGACCTCCAAGGTCCCCTCCAACTTTATTATTATTATTATTATTATTATTATTATTATTATTATTATTATTATTATTATTATTATTATTATTATTATTATTATTATTATTATTATTATTATTATTATTATTATTACGGATCATCGCACAGTCAGCCAGATATTCAGACTGGATTTGGCATTTTTGTCTATCCATCAAGTCCTTCCCAAGGACCTGGGATAGGCAGATGTGGATGTTTAATGGTATTACAGATCTCGTCGCAGGATGGAGGCGGTTCCTAGTAAGGCCGCCTTTTGCAATTGACTAATGGCGAATTTGTCAATGCCGATGATGGTGTTCAAGTGGTGCTCCAGTTGTTTTGGGATTGCACCCAAGGCGCCTATTACTATTGGTACTACCCTTGCTTGCCTTTGCCCACAGTCTTTCTATTTCTATTTGTAGGTCTTTGTGTTTTGTGATCTTCTCCAGTTCTTTCTCGTCTATTCTGCTGTCTCCAGGCACTGCCACGTCCACTATCCAGACTTTTTTGTCTTTCTTATCGACAATTGTTAAGTCCAGGGTGTTATGTTGCAGGTGCTTTGTCTGTTTGAATTCTGAAGTCCCAAAGCGGTTTAATTTTATCATTTTCTATGACTTCCTCTATTTTATGTTCCTACCAGTTTTTGCTTACAGGCAAATGATATTTCTTGCAGATCTTCCAATGCACCATTGTTGGTACTTTGTCATGCCACTGCTTGTAGTCAGGTTGTTGTTGTTGTTGTTGTTATTATTATTATTATTATTATTATTATTATTATTGAGGATCATCGCACAGTCAGCCAGATGTTCAGACTGGATTTGGCATTTTGTCTACCTATCGACTCCTTACCAAGGACCTGGGATAGGCAGATGTGGATGTTTGATGGTATTATTATTATTATTATTATTATTATTATTATTATTATTATTGCCATTGATAAGTTAGTAACACAGTTGTTAAGTCAATCCGGCTTCCCCCACATTGACTTTGCTTGTCAGAAGGTCGCAAAAGGAGATCACGTGATTCCCCAGGGACTCTGCGACCGTCATAAATACGAGTCAGTTGCCCAGCGTCTGAATTTGGATCATATGGGGATGCTACGGCGGTCATAACTGTGAAAAATGATCACAATTGTTTTTTTTCTGTGCCGTTGTAACTGAACAGTCACTAAACGAATTGTTGTAAGTCGCAGATTATTCTATGCCGTCGGCCTGCTCTACAGGGTTGTTGTATCATGGATTGACAGGATACGTTAAACACGGTGTTCTGAATTCTCCAAAGGGATGCGTGAACTCCAAGTCTTGAAAAGAGACACAGTGGGTGATACCTAATTATAAGCCAAATATCCCAAGACTTTATTAATGCAGTGATGTCATTGTTCAATTTTCAATGCACAAAATGGGGGGAAAAAACCTTTGTTGAAAGCTTTCGGTGCATTCCTAACTAGAAAGCGAGGCACTCAAAAGAAGAGAAAATATCCATGGATAGATGTATACCATAATATATCTGAGAGCAACCGGAGATCGTTCAATGGAAGACGTTCATTGCACTTAAGCCAGAGTTTGCTGAAATGTAGGTTTGTGCCTGTGCTCGGTCCAGCCTGTGGATTGATGGCTTCTAAACCAGGGTGGTCAGTCTAGAAACCTCTGAGGGCCCCTTTCAAAGGAGGTAGCCAAGGTTGAACTTGCAAAGAGAAGCCCCCGACAGCGAGGCAGGCGGCATATAATTTTCAATAAGTGACATAAATAAAAGATGATTTTGAATATCTAAAAGTGGGTGTTATGGTTGGGCGTTTTGTCTGCTACTAACTGTGGCTTGTTGATTTCCTGTTGGTTTATTTTAGCAATGTTTCCAAGGTTCCACTAAATGGCTATTTGTATGTCGACCAATTTTGCCCGTTTGTAACGATGTTCTCATTTTCTAGGCATTCTGACGGATTGGGATCTTCGAGTGAATACGTTAAGGTAGGGAAACCCATCTCTCTCCTTTCTCCTATTTCGGTAACCTTGTGATTATAAGGCGTATGGATCTTATCGACGCCCCCAAAATGCGTTCCTTAAGCTTTGACGCTCGCACCTCATTGCTTCGGCTTAGGACAGAGATGGCGAACCTTTTAGAGACCGAGTGCCCAAACTGCAACCCAAAACCCACTTATATATCATCGTGTGCCGGGTGGGTGTGGCTCATTGGGTGGGTGTGGCCCATTGGGTGGGCGTGGCTGCAGTGGTAACGGCAAACTGGGTGGGACTAAAAAGTTCAATCAATCAATTCCAACTTTGCGAGATCTTTTTTTTTTTCCCACGAGTTGAAATTGACTGATTGAACCTTTTTTTTTCTTGCACACGGCGGCGGAGGCCTAAAGCGAAAAGGTTTCATAAAACCCAGCTGAAGGCCTAGGACTGGGGCGACGGTCCGCGTGCCCACAGAGAGGGCTCTGCGTGCCACCTTCGGCACGCGTGCCATAGGTTCGCCACCACGGGCTTAGGATATCTGGGATTTTAGGACCCGCTGGGGTGATTTTAACCTGGCACGATAGACAGCGAGATGTTCCCCCCAGCTTGAGCTCCTGACTACAGGACCTTTGTTTGGCTGGATGTCTGCTGGCCTTGCGAGGGTCACAATTCTCTTGGCACAACAATTCAGGCCAGCAGAACCGCCAGCCTGATCGAAGGGTGAAGGAGGAGGCATAAATCTTGCCGAAGGAAATGGGAACAGGGCTGGGGATGAGGATTGTAGATTAAAAAAACCTGCCGATTATTGCAAAGGGAATAGCAGAAAACCGGGGGAATATACGGGGAAGTAAATGAATGCAATGTAGCCAACACCCAGCTTCGCTTGCAGCCGGTCGCTACAAGGGGCACCAAAATAAATGTTCAGCGGGCATCGCCGGCTTCTGCCTCTGTATAGGAAGGTGCCGTTGCTCTGCAGCTGCCAAGCCTCAACCAGAAGGTGAGAATTCTTCTCCAACCGCTTGACTCCATGCCAACATTCTTGGCTGCCTGGCATCGCGTTCCAGCCCAGCTGCCACCTGGGTCCTCCAAAATGGGCAAACGAAGAGCTGGCATCTCTGCTTTTTTTTTTTTTTAGCAAGGAAGAAGCCAAGGGGCTGGGGGGGGGCACGTTCGTGGCCCCGAGAAGCAGAATTAATGCCAAAGCTGGAAGTGGATGATGGATGGCCTCAGGCCGAGCCCTACCCCTAATGGGACAGATGGACCCAGGACATTAGGCGAGGAAATTAAGATTGCAATCTAAATGGGAGGGATTGCCAAGCAATTTGCAACCTGCGCTGGGGACACCGGGAGCGAAACAGCCCCCTCCCCCAAACGGCTCGCGCTCAAAACAAGGCCGAGCGAAATGGCATCACTTAAGGGAATTCTCAGAATTCTTCAGAAATAATTCCAGCTATTTTGTGCAGCCCGAAAAAGAAGGAAGAGAAACAATAAGATGCTGAGACTCTGGAAAGAGGACAGAGAAGAGCAACAAAGACGATTGGGAGACTGGAGGCTAAAACATATAAGGAACAGTTGCTGGAATTGGGTCTGTCTGGTTTAATGAAGAGAAGGATGAGGGGGGACATGATAGCAGTGTTCCAGTATCTCAGGGGCTGCCCCAAAGAAGAGGGAGTCAAGCTATTTTTCAAGGCGCCTGAAGGCAGAACAAGAAGCAACGGGTGGAAACTAAGCAAGGAGAGAAGCAACCTAGAACTAAGGAGAAACTTCCTGACAGTGAGAACAATTAACCAGTGGAACAACCTGCCTCCAGAAGTGGTGAATGCTCCAACACTGGAAGTTTTTTAAGAAGAGACTGGACAGCCATTTGTCCGAAATGGTGTAGGGTTTCCTGCCTGAGCAGGGGGTTGGACTAGATGACCCCCAAGATCCCTTCCAACTTTATTATTACTATTACTATTACAAGTCACAAGCCTTTGGAAGGAGCAGACGATAAAGGGGCTCATTCCACAGCTACAGCTCAGTTTTCTAGCTTGTGGGCTGGAAATGCGACACCCAGAAAAATACGGCATACTCCATTTAATCCTCCAGGGAAAGATGGAAGGCCAACAAGGTCCAGGCAGAAGAAGAACATCGTGGCTTCAAAAATCTAAGGGACCGGTTTGAACAAAACTCAGCCGCACTTTTTCGTGCGGCTGCTGATAAAAACAGGATCGCCAACGTGATCGCCAGATTTTATCTAGCCATTAGCCAGTTGGGGATTACAAAACCGGGTGTGAAAAAAGGCACGTCCCGCTTAAAAATGACAAAAATACCCAAATTTCCCACCCATGTTACGATCCTCTTAAGAAAATGGTGAAGAGGTGGGGAAAAGGAGATGGGGAGACGTTCCCCTTTTAAGCACCTGGTTACTATACAGGTGCTCGGGGGAAGTCCTCAGAGGGGGGTCTTTTGGGGGACTGCTCCCAGGCTGTGGAACTCCCTGCCACAGGAAATAAAGCTACCCCTCTCTCCTCTCTCTCTTTCAGCTAAAGATAAAAATATGTTTCCTTAGATGGGCCTTTGCTGAGGTTTTTTGGAACGAGGGTCCTGAAAATTCCCCCTCATTTTAACTGGGCCCTGATCCATATAATTCCAATTTCGGTCAATGCGCTCTCAAGCTCGTCATTTGTTCCCCCTCCCCAAAAGACCCATGAAAACCCCACCCGTTACTTCCAAGTCACTGGACCACGGCGCCTGTTGCTGCATCTGGCTAAGGATGATGGGCATTAAAAGCCCGCTCCTGGCTTCAGACAGCTTGCGCTGGGGAGAAAGACGCACCGTTCTTTCTCGTCCGGGTGGGCCACAAGCCCTAAGCGGACATTGGGGCAGAATCTGGTTGCCAGAGGGCTGGAAAAACTAAAAAAAAAAAAAAAACCTGCTTGAAGACATTAAAATGATATTGAATGCAGCATTGTCGAGAACCGGGCAAGGTCGAACCTAGGATAAACTCTGCATTGAGTTTAATCCCTGGCAGTAGGTGAGGGATTTCGAGATTGCCATCGCCCCGTGCCAAGCCATTTCTGCAGCAGCGCCAAATCGGGCCTCACTCGCTTAAGAACCGCCTTGCTTAAGCCGTGGAAATCCGGACCCCGACCGACCGTGGTCGTAAAGTTGAGGACTTTGCCTATATATGGGGTTATTTTTCAGCTTCTGAGGGCAAATGACGGGGGCCGAAGCAGCTTTAGAGGGGCATTGATGCTTGTGTGTGTGTGTGTGCTTTCCTGAACCCGCAGCCAGATTCACACCAAACCAGGCTGATAATTCAGGACTGACTTTTAGCCGTGGGTGGTTTGTCCGTGACGAGATCTTGCAGCCACCATGACGGACAATCCAAGTTTCTTGGGCTGCAACATCTGGTTTACCTGCAAGAGGTTGTGTGAATGCAAGGGGGGGGGGTCTGCCAGTACTGCAGGGAAAGCCAGAGGGAGGCAAACCCCTGATGGGCACCTGGGGGGGG